CGCATGGCATCACCGCAACCGGGGCGCAGCGGCTGGCGGGCAGGCGCGGAGCGGGGGGTCATGCCGGCGCGGCGCAGCGCCGGGACCGGGGGCGTGGGCTCGGGCCGGGCTGCCGGCGGCGCGGAGCGGGGACTGGCGCAGCCCGGCAGTCGCGCGGGCAGAGGGGCTGCGCCGGCAGAGCCGCCCCTCAAACCCCGCTGGGCGCTACGGCGGGGCCGGTTTGACTTTCTCCCTGCGGTGATGCCATGAGGGAGCTCCCACCGCCCCGCCTTCCTCCTCGCCCGGCTGGCTACGGAGCCCGTGGGGGTTTTGGCCTCTTAGTCAAACCCCGCCGTCACCTCGGCTGCCCTCGGCGGGAGGAAGGGCGGTGATTCACAGGACGCTGCGAGGGCCGGGAGCGGAGCACAAGCCCCGCTGGCGGCGTGCGGTGCCCCCGCCTGCCCCGCGTTCGTACGCCTGCCCCGACCGCGCCTGCAGAAGGGCAGCGAAGGTGCCGGCGCACGAGGGATCGGGGAGGAACGAGTTGCTGAAAGGACGGTTTTGGGGGAGGGTGCGGGGTCCTCGTCGCTTCGGCTGCAAAACTCCACCTGAATGGGTTCACGTTAGGACACTGCCTGGTGGCAGCGATCGCTCACAGACTACGACGAGGAGAAAATTATTCATCACTAATCTTTAAAAACAAGGGAAAGGCGCCCGGGACAGTGCTGTGTCTCATGCAGCAGCAATGAAGTGGCGTGGTGGGGCTGCGCAGCTGTCAGCGAGTGCTTCCCCGAGATTGTGAGATGCCTTGGGCCAGGCCCTGCAACAGCATGAGCTCTTCCCTGGGATCCCTGACCCGGAAGGGCCATGCAATTTTCGTAACTTTTATATTGCCTTTATGCAATATATGCCTTTTAGCCTGCTGTTGGTACTGGTCTATCGCTTAGTTGTTACTTTACTGAGCATACAGCAGAAGGGTGGAGGGCGAGCTTTTGCACCACCACTTAGTTTTCAGTAAATTGCAGAGGACTTATTTAATTGGATTTGAGTAAACATTATAATATTTCCTAGCATGCATAGTTAATACATTTATCTTCTCCAGGTTACATTCAATGTTCTGCCATCTCTCTGGATGGAAAAGAAAACTGGCAAACAAGCAGGATCTTCCTTTACAGAGGAAGAGAAGCCAAGAGAATGGACTGAAAATTAACACCCTTACTTGTAGAAAACAGAGTGCACAAGCCTTTCTTCCTCACATCAACATAAGCAGGGGCAGCGTGCTGCTTCCTCTATTATAGAATCCTCTGCCTTGCTTATCTCAATGTTCCAACCTCAAACTCACAACTCTAATGGTTTGCAAAAGTTTTGACTACAGACTGCAGTGCCATATTATTAGCCTACTACACTTAGTAACTCTGTCTTGAAAATTCTGAAGTACTTCCAAAGTATTATACTATTTTTGTTGTCCTGATATTTTGCAGAGTCCTTTGCATCAGGATATCCTGACTCATAAAACAAAAGGGTTAAGAACAAAGAAAACAAATGGATGGTGCAGTACAGTAGCACAAGCATTAACACATTCATACAATCTGTGGTTATAGAAAGGCAAATTTTATTGTTTTTAATTTCATATGGTTTCTTGAGATATTGTAGGTTTTTCATATTAGTGCATGTTGTGCAATTACTTTTTAAAGCAATGTTCCTGTCAGAAAGGGATAAACCAGGCAACTGAAGTCCAAAAGACTTTGAAGACTCTTTGCCTACTGGGTGGTTTAAAACTTACACCCCAACTAATTAATTTTGGTTTTGAGCTACAAGGAATTGCAGTAACTTTTTTCAGTTACAGTTTTTCCTCTCTGTTTACCTCTGTGCTTCGTGGTCCCCATCGGGGCAAAGAGCAGATGTGCCAGAGCACTGTGAAGTTAAGGCTGTCCTGCCATTTCCAGCTTTACTGGATGCAAACAGTGATCAAGAAATGATTGGATGTGGCACTTAGTGCTATGGTTTAGTTGACAAGGTGGTGTTCTGCCACAGGCTGGACTCAATGAGCTCGGAGGTCTTTCCCGACTTTGCTGATTCTCTGATAAAAGATACAAGACATCTTGGAAGACAAGTGTATTCACAAGTGCCCAGACCAATTTTTAGATTAATATCTGAATATTTAAGTGTTTAACAGAACTTAGCCACCAGCCTTCTTGGTAGCAGCAATAGCAATCTTCTGAGTTTTTAAAGTCTACACTACCTTTTTTTGTCCTTAAATCTGTGAAAATTTTGCACGACCTCTAGTTGGGCCACTTGGGTATGTACCTGTCTTATGGATAGGATCAGGCAGTCAGAACTGAAGGATTAATTGTTGTATTTGTTTTCACTTACAGTTCTACAGGTGCAAAGCAGGAGGCCAGTCAAAAACCAAACTGGAACTGAAATCTGTTGTTTCTGTTTTTCAAGAAGCTATATAATAAACCTAACAGACCGTATGTACTTTTTTTTTCTTGGAAAATTATGGTCAAATGAAAACAGCTGTTCTAGGTAGGCCGGATTTTCTTTTTTAAATCTTGACCAGTGGAAGGATCAGCAGTTGCAAATGAAAAATAGAAGTGTGAAAATTGTTGCTTGGCATTAGTGGGTGTGTCTGTAAATTAGTGCATCTCATTCTTAATAAACTTCTGCTTCACAGTTGTACTACAATTCAGTGATTATTTATCCTTAATTCATCCAAGATTTTTCTGTAACTGACTTTCTTTTTGTCTTTTTTGTTATAAGAATGGACCCACGTAAAAGCTGGTCACAGGAAAGCCTGGAAGATCTATGCTTGATTATGAGGTTCTTTAGCATTCAAAATCAGCTGTAGCATCATTCTCAGAGACTTCTAATTGACCGAATGCTCAGATTTTGCAAGTTCTCTGTTTTTCTGACTTCAGTTGTGGTATAATGTTTTACCTAACTTGAAGATGTGACCTCAACATCATGCTTTTCACTGCACTTGAGAAAAGCCATCAGAACTAAAAGATACTCCTACACATCAATGTACCCAGCCATTTGTGACTGCATTTTAAACAGTCCTTGAGCAAACTCAGCTGACCTAAAACTTCTCTTTTGCATTTTCACTTCTAACCAGACTTGAAGGAAATCATTCAACAGTGATGGATAGCTTTATTTCTACTAACTGCATTTCTATCTGACTTGGAGTTAAAGAAGCTGAAGTGATTACAAGAGAAATATGAATGTATTAGCTCTGGCCTTCATTCATCCTTAGAAGCAATGCCAAGCAAAAGGTGAATAGAGTCATCTGAAAACATGACAAGGCAGTGCCTATTTTCTTAGGTAGACAAGAGAACTGGAAAAGACTTGAGGAAAGGAATACTGTGATGGGAGAAAAGGGAAGAGAGTAAGCTGACAGATTGATAGCTGGTGTTTCATAATTAGTGTCTCTTAAAAAGTTTTATTTGTTTGCTTATTCACTCTGAAGCTATGTACTAAGAGCAGCAGCAGCAGCAGAATTGCATGCCAGATGGTAGAGGAAATGCCTTGTGTATCTTTCCAGTCTACTGAAGCCTGCGGGGTCGTTGTTAACCCACTGCTCTGCTTTTCATTGCAAGTCCCTTTCTTCCCCGTTTTTCTTTTCCTTCCTTCAAAGAAAAAGGAGGGAGGGGGAAAAAAATAAAAGAAAAGCCATGGTTTAAACTGGCAATAGCACCATCCTTTTGGCTTTGAGCTATCCTGTCCTGTGCCAAATATACTGTCTCCAGCAGCTCTCCCACAACAAATCAGTCCAGACACACAAAAGCTATAAAAAAAGAATGGTGAAGAAAGGTCCTTGATTTTCTCCTTCTACCCCCCCATAGCCTTTTCCTTTTGCTTCCCTCCTCAAGCTTCATTCCCCAGAAATGACCTCCTACTTGCCATTACTGTAAGTGATATTAGGACCTCCAGCCTGCTACTTTGCTGACAGCTTCCTTAGAGTACAGGCGCCTTTGTCTTTCTATATTAACAGACTATTGTAAAGCAGAAGTTATATTCTATTATTCCTCCCACTTCTATCTGATAGCTGATGTTTGAAAGAATGGCTCATAAATTATTAGAGTGGCAGATTCATTGCTGTTGGAAACTTCTTCTATTCTCTCAGTTAACCCACAGCATTGCATTGTGACAAAACTTAGTAAGAGCACATTCCCAAGCAGGCACCTGAAAAGATTTTATATAGTCTATTTATACAGTATATTATTTTAAAAATTGGGAAAACACTCCAAATTTTTAAGTGATTCACAAACATTAAGAAGTCCAAATGTAGAGACCAGTTTCAAAGACTATCAGATACTGATTGTTCAAAGTGTAAAGCATGTGTCTATAGATGGCACTTATTAGTGGAATCATCTTGAATCAGTAGTTGCTTGTGAAAAGTATGTCTTTGCCTATGTCCTAGGGATCATAGAGTCATGCAGGGACAATAGGCTAGACCATTGCCTAGGATCGGAAGAGATGCCATCACTAGGATCAAGTTTTAGAAGGC